TCAGTTCATACACACATAAGGAAGAGAACACTTTAAACAGACTGAATGTGAACTAAAGTAATAACAAAATGATAATACCGAAAAATCTCTAACAGGGTCTGTAAAGAGATTGTATCAAATTGACAAACTCAACACAAAATTTCTTAAGGACAGAAAAGAGACATTGCCATTCAACAATATTGGAAGCCTTTTCAGCATCAAGTGAGATGGCTACACTTGGTATCTTTTACTTGTTAGCAAATGTTTATGTTAAACAAATGCCTCAAATTATTAGTGGAAAATCCATTTAAAATAAACCCTATTTGATCTGGGTTGATAAGTAAGAGTACATACCTTTCCAGTCTTTTTGCTATCATTTTGCCGATCATGAAGTTTTAACAAACTTGATTTTCAGAATTTATTTTGTGTGTGAAAAAGTGACTAAGTTGGCAACCATTGGGTGATTGTTGTAAACCTTGTGTAACGCTCTTTTTTTTTTTTAAATGCACAGGTCTGACTGCAAGGTTTAGTGTTAACCACTTTGTAGAATCAGAAGTAGGTACGGCATGGAGTCATGACTGGGTGGATAATTGATGCAACTGATGCAAAGAACTTTGTTTATATTGCTATTTATTGCAGTGTAAATAATAATAATAATAATAATAATAACAGCAACAACTAAACAAAAATAAATTGCTCAAAAGAAACAAGGAGGGGGGGGAAACAAACAAACCAACAAAGAAGTAATGTTAATAATAATCAGTGATACTTCAAAACCAAATAGAGTTCAAAAGAAGTCCAAGAGTAAGGGGAGAATAGTTATTTTCCTTCAGATGCTCCCTTAGAGTTTAGTTTGTTTCCTGTGTGGAGAGTGTCTTTAGTTGGTAAAGTATTTTTGCTGATGTTTATGTGATATTTTGTGAATTCCAAATGCTATGAGCTGAATCTTTCTTTAGCAGATGAGCTTCTGCAGTAACTTCTATTCGCAGTTGCTCACCTCCAGCCCAGATCCCGTCAGCAGTGGTGAGAACCGCCTGGTAGTAACATTAGGTTAAGGTGAAGCAGAGAGCGAACAGTGAGCAGGTGGTACTGAGGCTCTGTGGTGCGTTGCGGTGACAGTCGCGGTACCATTTCTCTATATCAGGATATCTGGTTCCGGCCCACACAGTGGGACCAATTCAGGCTGTCAGTAGCGAACCGGGCATTTAGTCCAGCACTGGGGAAGTTTTCTCTGCAGCTGAACCATTTCTGTGTTTAGGAGAGAGGAGGGACTTTCCGCTATTACGAGGACAATTACGAAAAACTTTAACTACTAACTTAAACAACAGACCTACGTTTTTATTCACAAACAATGTATGTCGAAAAATAAATATTCTTGCCCATAATTTGATAGTTAGAGGACCCAGATCCACCCCCCTCCTCCTCACACAGATAAAAAAAAAGTTCCAAAACCTCAAAAGGGCAGTAGGGGCATCAAGGATAAAAGGGGCAGGGGCTCAAGGCCACTCCCCTTCCCTCCCCTCTTGAAATACAACATGTTAGCATGATTTAGGGCTACAAAAGTTGTATTTACACAAATCTGTCATGAATTGTGGTTTTGTGATGATGAAGATTCACTGTGTAAGACCCAGGATGAAGTGGAGAAATGTGTTTAATGTTAAAGCCAGGAACCACAGGTGAGACCAGAACAGGAACTCAGGTTGGCACACAATGTGCCAAGACAATTATGACGGCAACAATGACGACTATGACAAGGATCCAGCAAGAAACAGAGGAGACAGGTTAGGTTAAATACACAGGGGAAATAATCAGGGCAACAAGAAAGAGGTGGGATCAATCAGGGGCCTTACAAGACAACACAGGGACTAATTTAACTAATGCTCAAATGAGTATTAGTTAAATTAGTCTAATACTAATTAGACTAATTTAACTAATTTAAGTATAATTAGGGTTACTAATTTGTGCAACAACAAAAAATTTTAAGGACAATTTGTGTTTTTGTCCTTACAAAAATACAAACTGTGTATTGTTCTTGGGACCAATGAGAGCAGAGTAAAAATACTAGGAAAAAAACAAAAACAGCATTTTAGAAGAAACACTTTTGTGCGACTGTGGAGCGTGGTGGTGAAGGGTTGATGGTTTGGGCTTGTTTGTAACAACAAAACAAGTTAATATTTCAGTCTCTGAGTTAAACCTGAGGTTCTGGGGTCACATGTGAGGCAATTTGACAGATAAGGTTTTCAAACTCCAATTAAATAAATCAATTTTGGACAGAGAAGTGGCTTTAAATTACTCCTAAACACTGAGAGACAAGGTGATAAATATAATAGAATGTAATTTATTGATGGCCAAGGATGCAGATGCAAATATGTTCATCTAAAAACAAACTGAGTGCGGAGAAAATTTGATTTAAGTTACTCAGAAAATAAAATGATGAAATAAATAAATATATAATAATTATAATTACAATTATAATTATTATTATTATTTAATAAATAAAGTGTGGAATCTGTAGCATAAAAACAACTAACTTCATAGACATAATGAAATCCTCTTCTTTTTAAAATTGACTCACATTGGATGACTTCATAATGCCGAACATGGGGAAGAGGAGGGCAGGGAGCATGGCAGTCATAGACAAGGGAATCACCTCTGTCACCCAGAACACAGCCATGAGTAGCAACACAAAGGCACATTCTGCTACCTAAATGGTAAAAAGACAAAAAAATGTTTTACTTTATTGAACCACCTTTATTGCAACAGGACAGCTGCTAGTCTGAATTTTGAGTCTTTCTCTGTGGAGTTTACATGTTCTCTCCCATACCCAAATACATCATCATCAGTGCCTATCTCCCTTTGAGCCCAAGACCACTGAGGAGTGATCGCCAGTCTGTGTCCTCCTCTTCATTTGGTTGCAACATGAACTGCTGTTCACAGACACATCCCTGTGGTTCAAGGCAGTCTTTAGCAGGTAGAACTCAGACCTTGCCTTCCCAATGAGGGCCTTCACCCTGCTTTTACTTCCAGCACTTCCTGGAGAGATGAAAATGTCCACATACTTCTCCTCCTAGGTCAATGGGTTTTCCTGTGTTCTTTTAATATTAAGACCTATTGGCAGTAATGGAGATGCTACTTGGTGGGAAATAGTAGAGAAAGGTCATTGTAAAGCTGCACTGATGTCTACTGGTTGTCATGGTACCATTCTGCTCCTGACGAAAATGGTCATCTCACTGTAAAGGAATGACAACTTCCCTGCTGTGGAGCATACTAAGCATGCTGTTTTGAGCCATTATTAAAAAAAGGCTAACTTGGATTTTACACAGCTACAGATCATTCTTCAAGATCCTGTTTTTGTCAAAGCTTCTTGATAAAGTAGTAGCAGAGCAATTGATTTCTTACATGGAAAATATGAGGTCTTTGATCAAAAGCTCCTCTCCAGAGACAAAATTAATGTTGGACATTGAGTCTCATCAGAGACTCATGGAGACTGCATTAAATAAAGTGGTATTTTGATGTCAGCTGACTGGAGAATTCATGGGGATGGCCCTAGATATAATGTCTGCCTTTGGAACTGTTGAACACAGTATTTTGATTAACAGGCCAGTCGGTCTATGTGGATTTGTCTCCCATCTTTCTGGAAAAAATATTTAGTGTTTCTGCAATAATCCAAGAGCCTGCTGTGTGGTGCACCTCAGTATTAGAACTTATTTTCTTTCTTTTGTATATTTTCCCAGAGGCCAAATAATAAATCAGTTTTCACGTGTGTTATTTCTATGCTGATGATATTCAATTATATTGTTCCTTCAAACCTTCTGAATATCACAGAGTTGTCCTCCTTAATAATTTGTGTTGGCAATATCAAAGAGTGGATCTGTGATAATTTCTTGCAAATTAATTGTGATAAAACTGAAACCTTAATTACTGCTCAAATAACAGAAATAAATGAACTCTAAACCTATCCTTGGTATATTGACATCTTCTGATAAACCAAACCTCAGAAACGTAGGTATTAGTTTTGATTCTGCCATGTCACTGCAGTGCTATTCTTGCACATCAATCAGAAACTTTTTTTTTTTGTTAAATGAAGAAATATTTTTAGGTTTAAGTCTATGGTGTCAATGGCCAAGATGAAAGATGATTATCCATACTTTTATTTTATTCAGTCTGGATTATTGTAAGTCTTTTCATGTACTTTATTTGTAACGCACTAATAAACCACATCCTAATAAAGCATTCTGAACTGTCTTCAGAGCTTGCTGGTCTGCAGACAGTTCAGAATGCTGCTGCAATACATAAAAGTAGAGCACATAGCTTCAGTTTTAATTTCTTTATGTGGTAGCTTATAGTCAAGAGTAGCGGTTCTCAACATGGGCGGTACCGCCCCCCGGGGGGCGTTCAGAGGACGGCAGGGGGGGCTGGCGGACATTTTTACAAAAGGGGGGCGCTGGGATTCCTCTGGGGCGCATTTGGTCGAAGGTAAACTTTACACCTTAAATGCACAACAATACCAGTTTAGACTTTGAGCAACTTCCTAGAACTGTATTGTGTAAAATTAAAACATGCTTGGCTGCAACTGTATCGATGGCAGCTCTTCTTCTTCTCCTTCTTCTTCTTCTCTTCAGTGTTTGTAGCTTGTAGCTCCGCTCCTGCTACTAGTAGCTTCACCGCATCAGTTCAGCGTTTCACCTGCTGATGACGGTGCTGTGATTAACTTTGTCTGGTATTTTTGTACATATGTTTTGGCAGTTCTGTGATCAAGTCAAAGCAGCAACTTATATTGAAAAGTGTTATTTCCGTCTGGATGCTGCCGCTTCCATGGAAGGACAATGTAAAGTCGCTCTTATAAACATGTAATTACTAAAATCACGATACCCTCACTGTGTATCCCTCTGAAAAATGAACCCATTTAA